GCGGTAGCGGACCGCAGGGCGGGTGGCAGCTGGCAGCTGCGGGGGAACCACAGGGCGGGTGGCAGCTCAGCCAGGGGGGAGACGAGCCGGGAGAGGAAAGGGGTGCCCGTTGCTCATCCCCATGGGTAGGACAGGATCTGGGAGGATGGATGGGGTGCAGCCCGCTCCGGGCTTCTCCCTGCGGAGCAGCAAGGCTCGGGCACAGCTCTCCATGCGGAGACGTGGGGCAGGGACCCAGCCCTGGTGCAGGGGGCACTGGGCTGCAAGTGGGGTTGAACGATGTGATCACCTCCTGCAGGGAGCTGGACCGTGCATGCCTGGACCGTGCACACCTGGACCGTGCACGCCTGGATCACATGTGCCTGGGCCATGCACGCCTGAACTGTGCACTCCTGGTCTGTGCACAGCTGGATCACACACACCTGGAACACGCACACTTGGACCGTGCACGCCTGGATTGTGCACATCTGGACCGTGCAACCTTGACCGTGCAACGTCGACCATGTGCACCTGGACCATGAACAGCTGGACCGTGCATGCCTGGGCCATGCACAGCTGGACTGGGCACAGCTGGGTCACGTGTGCCTGGGCCATGCACCCTGGACCATGCACAGCTGGGCCATGCACACCTGGACCATGCAAAGCTGTATCACACATGCCCGGACTGTGCACACCTGGACCGTGCAACCTCAGCTGTGCACATCTGGAGCACACACACCTGGACCACACACACCTGGAGCACACACACCTGGACCATGCACCCCAGGACAGCAACTCGGGAAGACGGGCGCTGCCCGAGGAAGGCAACGCTTTGCGCTTCCCTCCCACCCAAGTGACATACAAGCACCGGCCGGCTGTGGGCCCCGACACAACCTGTTTGAGCGCATCCCTGCCCGCACGTGAGGTGCAGGCAGGCAGCAGAGCCGGCAGGGCTGCCCGGTCAGGCAGAAAATGCAGCCCTTTCCGCTCCTCCCAGCTGGCAGAGGAGAAGGCGGGCAGCGCGCCCCTGCCTAAATCAGCGTTTCTGCTGCCTCCGCCGAGGACATGGCGTGGGGAAGCATCCACACGCATTTTTCTCACCACAATAACCTCAACCTAATTACAGGAGGCCAGAATGTGTCTCAAGTCCTTCGGATCGGCTCGGACGTCACAGGGTTTAAATGCAATTACTTCTCCGGCAGACAGGCCGGGGCAGGAAGGCTGCGGCAGCTCTCTGCCGGGCTCGCTGCCCCGAGGAGCGGAGCGGGGCCCTTTGAACCCCGGCGTGATGCACGCAATGGGCCGTGAGACTCCAAACAACCTCCCAGGCGTTTTGCAAATGTTATCTGCCTTCAGCTGCCTACAGGCAGCTCCAGCATTAACATGGAGAACCCGCTACGCAGCGCGATGTTTCCCACTGACTCACGGCGCGCCTGGCCCTCCGCCAGCGCCGAGCCCATCTGCGGCACCAGCGGCGCGCTGGCAGCATGGAGGAGGTCGGGGTGGGGGGGGGGGCACACGCAGCCGGGCCCTGCACGGGGAGAATTTTGGCTGCTGGGGAGTCATGGGGGGGCTGGAGCCAAGGTGAGCGGAGACCTTGCAGAGCCTGCGGAGGGGAAAGGATGCTCGCCCCGGCCAGGAGGGATGCAGGGCAGGGAGGCCACCCCGAGCAGCAGGGACACCGCGGGGATGGGATGGGGGGGATGCGGTGCAGCTCTGCACCTCCCTGCGACACACCCCGAGAGGCAGCACGGGCACCCTGCAGCTGGGAGAGCACCACCACCCCGGCACGGCACTCACCGAGCCTCCGCAGCCAAGAGCTCGTCATAGTGCGAGGATCTTTGGTCGTCGTCTTGCCGGTAGCGGATGACGGTGGCCAGGCCCTTGCTCACCAGCGCTTCGGCGATGTTGCTGCAAGAGAGAAGAGCGGGGGGCTCAGCACCAGCTTGTGGGGGGGCGGAAGGGCCCATCTGCCCCGGCACCCACCATAGCCAGACCCCGTGCATCGCACCGGACCCCGACACCGGAGGGGGTCAGACCCGCCGGGGGGTGGAAGAAGAGACCCCCACACCGTTTCACGCCACTGGCCAAGGGAAGGTGCTTGGAGCAACATCTCACAATTAACAGGGACTTCTGGGCACGGCCGAGGGGTCCCCACATGAGCGTGCAGGAGCCAGGCTGCCACAGTGGGGGATCTCCTGGCAGCACCCCAAAACCCCCACGCCACCCCCCAAAAACAGAGTGGTCAGCGCCCCCAGGCCATGGGAACCTCCTCCTTGATTTTACCTTCCTATTGCTTTTTTATCCCTACCGTCCCCTCATTGGAGAGGGGAGGTCGGCACTGGCCGGGCTCGGGGGACGGCTGCCAACGGGCGCCGCGTGCCAAGGCGGCGCGGTAAATTGGCTGCCATTACACTCTGCTGCTCTAAACAAATTCATAAATTCTACTTCGCTGAGCGCATCTGTAATTCTCCTCCAATTACACAGGCAGGGCACGGACCGCTAATTCACTACTTAAAAAAAAAAGGCATATATATATATATATATGTATGGGGGGGCCCCTGATCCATTCACAAGCCCCGGGAGCACCCCCTGCCCTGGAGAGGGGGAAGGGCAGAGCCATCACCGGGAGCTGAAAATAGGTCTCGCCTCGGAGCAGGGGAAAAAAAAAAAAGGATTTGTAAACGAGGAAATAAGCTGCAGCAGGAGGCAGCTGCAGAGGTAGCGCTCGAAATGCCAAGCAACCAGGAATAAGCACCTACAGCTATTTTGGGCATGAACAGGAGGCTGTGCCAGGGGGAGGCGAGCACAGGGCTGGTGGCACCCGTGGCATCCCTGCGGCCCCCCGACACTGCGGTCTGCCCTGACGGGGGATGTTAAGGTTTGGGGCTGGGCAGAGCTGGGTGCGAGGCTCCGTCCCCAGGTCCCCAGCGCCTTGGGAGCAGCGGGGCACAGCCTGATAGCAATGGGCGAGAGGTGACCCCGTTAGGGATGAGCTGGGGGGACACCTGCCCTGGTCCCCACCCATGAGTTCCCCCCAGCAGGGCTGCAGAGCCATGGGGCGATTTGGAGGTGAGAGGCAGCAGCACCCCGAAGACACACAGATCTGCGAGAGGTTCCCGGTGGGCTTCTGCCGGACCTCCCCAGCAGCTCGGTGCCAGCCTGGCTCTGCCAGTGAGGACAAGGTGCCCCGGCTCCCCCATGCCAGGACGAGCAGCCGAGGTCGGTGCTGGAGGGAGCCCCCCAGGCGAGCTCCGGTCGGGATGGAGTTTGCAGCCCCCCAGCTGTCTGAGGCCAAGCCAAAGCGGCGAGGAGCTGCAGGACGTGGGGGGCAGCCGCAGCCCGTCTCAACCACGCTTCCCGCTCGGCATCGTGCCTCTGTGCCGTCCCACAGCCCTGAGCATCACTCGCTGCATGAGCGGGGATGCTCGTCACCAGGAGACTTTTGCCCAACACACACCGGGGGAGACGCCCGAGCGAACCTGAGGCCGGAGACTCTGGTGATGGGCACGCTGGGGAGAGCTGCCCACCCGGCCCCTGCCGCAGCAGCGCCCTACTCAGCGGGTGCTGCGCCCAGAAATGCCACCTCCATCCCACCCACGTGTTGGGGAGCTGCGGCTGCACCCCTGGAGCAGCATATCTGCAGCACGTCCCCAACCTGACCCACCATGGGGACATGCCCCAAACGGCAATCACCACCAGCCCCGGGCAGGACGGCTCCTTCTGGTACAGTCACATCCCACCCCAGCGTGGGCAGACAGCCTGGGGCACCCCTTCATGTCCCACGTCCCATGTCCCCACCCCAGGGCTTGGGAGCAGGCAGCTCTCCAGCCCTGACGGGATTTCCATGCTCATGCAAAGCCCGGCTGGATCTGGGCTGGGGGGGTCCCATCAGCCCCCCGGTTTGCAGCTTCCAGAGGAGATGCCCAGCCCTGCCTTGCCCTGCACCCTGCACGCTGCACCGTCGGGGCTGCTCCATCCCCACCCATCGCCCAAGCCCCGTTCTGGGGAAGAGAGCAAAGGGGGGCAGGGGGGACAGGATCTGGGAATAGCGAAGGAGATTGAAACCCAACATGGAAAGTATCAGGAAACAACTGTGCTAGCAAGCGCTCCATCTGCTTGCTAAACGGACAATTTTATTCTGCCCCCAGCACTTGTGAAGTGTTGTAATCTTGTTGCCACCTCTGTTTGATGGCTTCATTTATTCAGCAATATCATGGTTATGGCTTTTTATAAGACAAGCAAAATTGCCAGAGTTTGCTCCCACTGCGCTGCTGGGTCCTAAAGGAGCGGGGACAGGCTGGGGCTGCGCACGGGGAGGGCGGCCGTGCTCCCTCCGGCTTTTTGGTCCCCAATGGGCTCTGCAAGAGGGGATGGAGGCACCCGGCGCAACCACTGATTTGGACCCAAAAGGTGCCGGTCCCGGCTGCTGCCACCCCCGAGCATCAGCCGTGGTGCAGGAGGCACCCGGCCGGGGGGACCCCTCCTCAGCGCCAGCATTGCCTCCCCCAGGGGCTGCACTCCCAGTGCGGGGCCACCGAGCCTCCGCTCCCGCTCTCCCATTCAGGTTTCAGAGACGACATTCCGTGGCTGGCGGGGACCGAGAGCAAACGAGAGGCATTGGGCGGCCACAGGGCTTGCGGGGATGCTGCAGTGCCCAGCTGCCTCAGTTTCCCTGCCCCGAGCAGCCGTGCTGGGACCCTGCATGGCTCCAGCACTGGGCACCAGCTGTTCCCCCAGCAAACACTTCTGCTCCGCCGCAGAGCCCTGCGCCATCTGCAAAGGAGAATTAGCCTAACGAGGGGTTATCTAACCCCGTGCGGTTAGCAGGGGCTAACCCCCCCAGGCACCCCTGTCTGCCCTGGCACTGCCCGTGCTGGGTGCCCAGACCCCCTCTTTCCCCTGGGCAGCGGGTCCCGCAGCCCAGGACCAGCTCTTGCCCGGGTTCATGCTCTTCCAGTGGAAGGAAAAGCTGCCTCCACCCCAGGAATGCCAAACCTGGAGCGAGCACATTGGTTCCCTGGCGCGACGCAGCGCTTGCGGTGGGTCCTGGGCGGGCACAGCCCGCAGCCGGCTGGGCTGGAACCCCGTCAGGGCATGGGGGATGCCAGAGAGACCCCCGGTCCCTGCCTCCATCCTCATTAACCTGAGAGCCCGAATGGGTCTGGCAGGGTCAGAGGTACCCGGGAACTCTGCCTTGTGGGGTGATGGGGAGGAGAGAAGCCGCCTGCCCCCCACCCATGGGGCGAGGGCACCCTTCCTGCACCCTGCTGCGCTGTGCGGTATAATTCAGGCTCTCATATTCACCTGCTAGAGAGGAGGACGGGGGAGGACAGACCCCATGGGACCTGTCCCCCCAGGGGCCATCAGCCCCCCCCTCAACGCACCCACACAGCCCCCAGCCCTGCGTCCCGCTCCCCATCCCAGCCACG